TCTATTTGTGCGTTTGCTTTCGCTGACTGCTGTGTAAGAAGCTGGCGTGAGGCTTGGCCTGCCGTGATTACTTTGGCATGTACCCCCCCTCGTTCTCATGTTGCCATCCCTCTTGTAGGGCAGTCAGATGCCGAGGCCAGCGGCTCAGGTACAGGTACAGGCCCAGGTGAGTGCTCACCGTCGCCCCCTGCTTGAGTGGAGGTCCAAGAAGGACCTAGTCAGGCCTTGTTCTGTTTATAATGGTCTGATGGCCTTTGACTTGACAATCATCCAACAAAACAGCAATTATAAATTATTCCTTTGTATGACCTAATTTAAAGTATTGAATTGGTGTATTGAAATTTTCACTGCCTGGATGAGAGACTGTACAGAACTTACTGTTGCGTCTCTCTGCTGATGTAATGACTGAGCAGTAATAGGCTGTGTGTTGCAGCAGAGATTGCTTCGATACAACTGCCACTGAGTATTAATGTCTCTTCTCTCACAAAGATAAAATTGCACTGGAAGGATTGGTGGTGCAGAGAGCTGAATGCAGACCGGCCGTCAGTGAAAACTACATGAGGCTGAAGAAGTATGTTCATATATGCACACTAGCTCTGTTACAAAACCTGTTGAGCTGCTATTGAGGCCAGTTCACTCCAAGAATGATAACTATAACCGTAACAAATGCACAATAACATTTTGTTTATTAAAGCATGTGCTGTAGTTATGTTGTCCACCGCTTTAAATGTTTCAACACGGTCAATGTTGTGTTTTGTTGCAGACTGCAGATGGAGGAGTTGTCTAAACCGCTCAGGTTCTCTCAACAGCTCGACAAAGCCGTTACCACCAACTACAAACCTGTGGCTAATCACGCCTATAATGTAGGTCAAGCTTTTGTGTCATGTATTGTAAGTATTATACAATTGATTGTTGAAGCACTCTCTCTTTGTTCCTGTTTTTCTCAGCTGAATTATGAAAAGAGGAAGAAAGAAGAAGGGAAGAGGGCACGTGCAGATAAACATCAGGTGCTGGACATGCTGTTCTCCGCCTTTGAAAAGCATCAGTATTATAACATTAAGGATCTGGTGGACATCACAAAACAGCCTGTGGTGAGTTACACTATATATACACGAATGTTTAACACCAATTTAAAGCATCCTTGCTGATTAAAAGTAACAATTTCTTTCAAAACATTACTTTGCTCTACTTTATTCTTACTGACCCCAAGCTTTTGAATGATAGTGAATGCTACAAGGCTAGCTATAAAAACTCCCTTTTTTCATTCTCTAGACTTATTTGAAGGAGATTCTTCGGGACATTGGCATATACAATGTCAAAGGCACCCACAAGAACACCTGGGAGCTCAAACCGGAGTACAGACACTACCAGAGCGAAGAGAAGAGTGACTGACCATTTTCACCATTGGACTCTTTGTGGTTCTGAAAACCTGAAAAACAAACGTCCCCAATTTTTTTAAGGATAATTTTTGTTCTTTTTAAAGGTGTATCAGAAACCTGTGGCATTTTACAATGCTAAGCAGTTTTATTATGCTTGTTAGATTGAGGAATTCCCTTGAGAAACTAGAAATATAACTATTCAGTTCAGATCTTCAGAGATGAAAAGAACTTCCAATCCTCATCACTTGTTGTGTATAAAAAGTAGATGTTGACGTTTTTTTAAGAAAACGTATTGATCGATTAATTGTAAACAGTTGTTTTATTCAGATTTAGTTTTCTGATTGAACCACTTATTTTATATAGTATTTCACTTTAATTTCTTGAAATAAAGGTTTTTGTACAAAAAACGTTTTTCCATGTTGTATCTCTGCACACATTGTGAGACATTTTTTATGATTCACACAGCATGACTGGGATAAATGTTAAATAATCAAAGTATTTAATAATTTATATTTAATTGTGATTTCATAATATATTAGAATAATGTTAATGTCCTTTTATCCTCAGCTAATCACAGAGTGCAAATGAACCTGCTTGTGAGTTCTTCATGATCCTTACAATGTATACCACTATACTGGAGAATTTCTGTCATGGGAATTTAAAATATATTTAATCAAATAGGTTTGATTTGCTAATAACAAAGTGTGAGCATTTTGAAAACAGCATATGCTCAAAATCTGTGGTCATGAAAGTTCTTCATTAGAACACTCAAAAATAAACATTTGGTCTAACTTGACGAAATGATGAAAGAAACATATTACTATTGCACAGTAGAATGTACTTAAACTAATAGGGAATATCATACAAGTTTTAATTTAAACTGTAAAATTGCTATGAAAAAATGAATGTCATTTGATAACATTTTAAAAGATTAACAAAATTTTTTGTTTTATTACCACAATTTTTTTAAGTAAATTTGTATTTGAAAATCCTGTTTTATATTCTATGTACTCCTAACAGTAAAATAAGCCACTATAAACTATAAAGGTCCAGTCATGAAAAGAAAAAAAAATACAGTGATGTATTGTGAAATCGCCAGAATCTTAAATAAAAATACAAATGTGATGAGATTTTAGGTCACACTGCCCAGCACTACTTTGTTTCAACTCAATTGTGGTGATTTCATAATATATTAGAATAATGTTAATGTCCTTTATCCTCAGCAAATCACTGAGTGCAACTGAACCATAAGGTTTCTACATGATCCCTATATACTGGAGAATTTCTGTCATGGGAATTAGAAATACATTTAATTTGATTTGTTGATAAGTGTGAGCATTTTGAAAGCAAAATTTATGTCATTGTGGTCATGAAAGGAGTGATAAGGCATCAAGAAACAAAGCTGCTTATTACCAAGAACAAGGTCATTATTTGGGCTTTCTTAGCAGCCACAAGACCCAAGGATCTTAAAGTGAATTCATTAATGAACTCCATTACAATGGACAATTATATTGAGCACACCAGCTAATATACTTTTACACACACAATTTTCCTAGGTGAGGTTACAGACACAAAATCTATAGGGTAACTACTCCGATGTTCCACTTTAAACTCATGATTTTGCAGCTACATGTCAACTGACTCTCATTGGAGTATTAGTAGACTGTCTGCTTACTTCATTTCCATGGTCCCCGACAGACATTCTACTAAGTAACTTTGCAACTACGTCAACTTATTCTACTAACCCTACCAACTAACCCAAAAGTATAAAATCCTAATGAGAGTTAGCTCACATATAGTTGCAAAGTATAGTTAGTACTAGTAGTATGTCTAAAGTTAAAGATCAGCCGATTTCTGGGCGGAGAGGGGGTGAATAACAGTAGTGTTTAGCGGTCTCTTTACTGATGCTAAAGACTCTTTCATATGTTTATCAAGGGCTTTGAGCACAATTCACCTCATTGCTTGTAGACGTAAAACACACCCCTCTTCAAAAAAGCAAGCATTTGTGTTTCCAATACGCATATAGAAAAGCCATTTTACTGACCAATTCACTTTTATCACTAGCTGTCATTTAGCATAACTTGTTTTAATTTATAATTGTGGCATGTTTAACTTTATTTTGGAGATTGAGCAGAAATGTAAGATTAGTAATATCCAAGGCAGCATTATAAAGAAGAATTTAAGTACTAAAACAAATGCTTCTTTCCCACCAGATAAATTACAGGATATTTGAGGAATTTTCTGTAGTGGAGTTGATCAATGCTTGCTTTGCTTTTATTTAGTAGCACAGACATCAACAGTCCACATTTTGATGTGTTAAGGACCTTTTCTTGTATTTTGTTGAGGCTTGATCCTCACTAAATCCTGTACAAATATACTATATTTGTCCCCTTCACACATTAAGGTCTTTAGGGTGAATTCAGGGTAAACTGGGACACTTTGCCATTGAGATGACTGGGGAAACGTCCCATTTATCCTGAATTAAGCCTACATTAACATTTCTTCTAACTATTGAGGCTACAACTTCTGCATAAGATACACATTATCAAGAATAGATGCAGCTGTTCATTGTATAGGGAACAAATGCCCAAACATGCCATTTAAATAATGTTTTCTCCCCAGTATCGATTTTTTTTCTTTGCATTGAAATAACGAGAATAAGTCAAAAACTTTAAGAGCATCACTTCATTTTTAGTTAATCTTGGTTTAACAATTATTTTGAGAAAAGGGAATTGGATTTAAAAAAAAACTAATATATACTTCTATATATTCATTTAGCCCACTGCCCTCAATCAAGTTTTATTCTTGGTGCTTCGTATAGTAAATTTTTTTTGCACCTCTGTAGAGCTTCCAACTTATCTCAAAAGCTTTCTCTCCTTTACCCATTGTTTTTTGATCAATGGCAGTTGAGCAAAAGCTAATTGGATAAAAAAAAAAACAGGTTGTGATTAAATTTGCAAGACAAGTTAGGCAGAATCAACAAGCAAAAACTTTAATTAGCCAGCAGCTTGATTTTATTCAATAATGGTGCCAAGAAATCCTATACAATCCTGTGAATCAATGGGAACGCGGGGAAAATTACAACTGTACATCTGCTGAAACTAGAAGCTGACATGCACAGCAAATGAGAAGCCAGCAAGTCAACTTCACCTCCATGATAAAGAAATAAAAGAGAACCCCCAAATTACTCAGTTTCTTTACCACAATCTTTTCACATTGCGGTTTGGCTTGCTAAAAGTCCTGTTTTTAATTTCCTTTGAATGGATAGTTCACGTCTTCTCGCCATGGACGGACGTAAGCCAATCAAGAAACGAAAACGGCGGCCTCGTAATGTTAAAAGAGCCTCTGGTCCTGATGGAAAGAATGAGGGGGAATGACTGGTTTAATCCATGGGTCCAATCCACCAAGCAGAAGCCAGAGTTGGAGGGGTAACTTGAAGATATTTGGGAAGTTTACTATGGTGAGAAAGAGAAACACAAAAGGATCAATTTTGTTTCAGGTTAATACCGTCAAGACCCAAACACTTCAGCACTAGCAAAAAAATAAAAATAAAAATCCAAGCACACCCCATCACGCAATAAGTTTTTTTTTAATCTTCAGATCTTCATGCTAATGCAATTATTCTATCCTCCTCAATTTAATCCTTTCCAGCCACCATTCAGATGATGGCCAGGCATCATGAGGAAAATTACTATTGCATCCTTGTGCAAGCCCAGACACCACCGATTATGGCAACAGGCCTATCAGTGGATGCTACGCAATAATTCGAGAACTTCATATATAGCAAAAGAAACATAACACTTAATGTAAAAAAGACATTAAAATGACTTCAGAAACTTACGCATTTCTCAATCTCCAGACCATCCTTGAAAAAGAGCATGAATGGTGTGACTCCATCCTCACGGAAGTCAAGGAGACCAATTATACCGTCCGGGTTCATGGATTCGCCAGTGAAAAACTGTACGATTGAGAAAATCAGTTAGCAGACCACAAAGGAGTTTCGTAACCCAAGACAATAGAACTGGGATCCCCACTGACGCATGTGTAAAGAGCATACATGTGATTATTTTGTGCTATGCTGTTTTTAACTTGATGCGGAGTTAAAGCTAACCCTAACCCTAATGATGCGCAATTCAGCTTTGCCAGCACAGGAATAAACACTTTAAAATACATTAAAAAGCTATTTATAATTATAATGTAACAAGCAAATGACATTACTGATTTTGATTAAAGATTTTTCAAAAACACTAAAAGAATCTCACCAACCACAAACTTTTAAACGGTAGTTTATATAAATTCAGCAAAATCAGAAGTTACTGCAGCCTACCTGATAGTTTTTGATATTGCCTAGAATTTTCTTGACCTCAGCCGGTGCGTTCGCCATGAAGGGGTCTACCCTGTCAGGTGAAAGTTCCTGTAGCTTGGCTTTCACTCTGTCACAATGGGGGGGGAAAAGCTAATATTACTGAAATATTTAAGTTTCATTTAGCTTCACAAACTGCCAAGCACAGTGGTTTCAAATCAATTCTGTAGACCCCAATTCAATCTTACATGCCACTCACTGGGCAGGCAGAAAGCGCAGGGACCTTTAATTTTGCATCTCAATATTTTAAAACCCAGGTGGCCACAATGCAAGACTCTGAGCTGTCAATGATGCAAAAACAAATACCAGGAAAATGCGAAACATGATATTTACAGTACACCAAGCCTGTTGCCAGGAAAAACATGCCTCATAACATTAAACTTACGCCTTCATGTAGTCCTTGATGTGGGCTGTGTAAGACTTCTTGTCAAAGGAGGTCTCCTGAAGCTTGTGGTTCAGAACAATATCCACACCGCTGACAGTGGCACTCTCACAGCCCTCATCCTGAACTTCTGCTGACGCATTGCCACCAATCAGTGCATCGTCTATGTCTCCCTCCGCCCTGCTGATCATCTGCAAAAACATGAGTCAATGCCTGTAGCTGATCACATCAACATATTGATTGGGAATTGTACAACCAATGCTAATATCTGCAGAACTGATTAGAAAAAGTTACTGACTCAATTTGGGACGCACAATTATTTTTATTTTGCTATAGCCCATCAGAGATCGTACTCAGAATATGGTGGTTTCATAGGTCATAACCTTCAAAGGTGTCCTAAGTTGTCATCATTGTACATCCATGGGAGGGCTGTCACTCAATTTTAAAAAGCTGTTTGGTTCAAATGAACCTGCATACCTTTCCCTCCACTTCAATCATCATTCCATTCTCAGACTCTTTGATTTTGTAGATGTCAGAGAACATCTCGTCCCCTGTGAAAGAAAACAAAGAAAAGTTAAATTATCAGTCCAATGTGTTTAGTTACTTCTGATTATTTTATTTCTCTTTTCCACTGTCACTAAGTGAAAGACAAAACAGATAGCCTATTGCACTCTTGTGGTCCAATTTAATTAACTCCCATGAATATTCACTGGAATGCACTAAGAATCTCTCACTTTATGCATAAAGTTCTGCCTGGTTTTTCACACTAATGCTTTAACCCTCTGCTGCTGTTCTGTCAATTTAGAGCAAAATGTATTTATTTTTTAGAATTTACTTCATCGGAATGGTATGAAACTTAGTGAAGGTTTTGGCACTTGCTATGTGAACAAAAAAACATGGATGATTCGAAAAGGTTAAACAGTCCGGTATAATAATAATAATAAAAAGTATTGAAAATGAATGGGAGGCAAATTTCATCTTTTGGAAACATTTTGTACTGCGGCCAAACAAAATGCTACTAAAAGCTTAAACCTCAAATCTATGGCTTTGTTTATCAGTTTTAGAGTAAAGCGTGTTTTGGAAAATATACATTTCATAATTTGTGCATTTTTAATTATAAAAAGTGTAAAAATTGTATAGCTTTTTTTCCAAGCTCACCTCTTTAAACTTTCATCTCTCTTTTTTCACTTCAGCAATAATGTGCCTGTCATCTTTAAAAAGAGACCAAACAGTCTGTGCGCCAAAGCATTCAAAATGTATGACATTTAAGTTGGAAACGTCTTTCAGGTTAATGCTCAAAAAGACAATAAATTGATTAACTACAGCATAAATATAATTTAGTACCAAATAATCCCATAAAATTACAAAATACTAAATAAACATCCAACTAAAATATAGTACAATCATTTCTTTGAAAAATAATCGTTCATTTTTAAACGACACGCTAACAGTACCAGAGGTTAAAGCGTAAAGTTAGTTCGCTACCCATTTTCACATCCAATCTCAAACAGCTTGCTTTACTGGAATGTTTCCAAAGCAGAGATACAATATTTGTTTTCGGTCAAGATGACAGAAAACACTTTTATCAATGTTCCAGATGACGGAACATTTTCCTTGACGCAATGTACGATATATAACAGACTTAACATTAGAAATAATTGACACGGCCGCAATGTTGCTGCGGAAAGACTGGTTTGAACTTTTGGGGCAATTCATGATCTTCTAAAAGTAACGTTAATTTATTTAAATCTCCTTATGGTGTTCGACGGTTGAGGGGTGACAAGAATGTCGCCTTATTGTAACGTAACCCAGTTTTTGCAATCGCTTATTACACCCATGCGTCGACCCTTTAAACAGGTTTATTGTTAGCATCTGACTGTTTGGAGTTCAACGGATGTTACTCACCCATAATTGAGCAAACCGTCATGGCGTTTAAGAAAAGGTCGATAATTCTCAAAAATGAAAGAACTTTCCATTTAAAGGCCCTCAGAAGAGTGACGAGTAACGTTAAAGTGAACTGGCCTGGACTAGTAACACGCCCTGTTTAGCGCTCATTTCATCATCTCATAATGGGCTGTGAAAACGAAAAAAAAAAGCCTAAATTATTTTCAAAATGAGCCGTTTCCGTCGTTAAAATCAAATTCACTAGAGATATTGGTTTCCAAAACAAACAGTGATTTAGATGAGTATGAGTATTAAAACACTAACATCACAACTTCTACCAGGCACCAAACTGGCCGACCGGCGTTTTAACTCAGCTGCTAACACTTATCGACAAACTTGTTTAAATATAACCAAACACGTTTATTCCCTGAAATAGTTTGAGTAAAATTAATTCGCAATGGTAAGGTAAACAAAAGAGTAACATTTAAAACCGCAGCAATGAAGCGAACGTCTATATAGTTTACAGCTTTGTTAGCCACTAAGCTAACTGCATTCAACAAAGTTAGGCCGCGATGAGCCGGGAAAGACCGGCCCTTTAACACAATTCAACAACATTTGACGCCAAAAATATAGGTAAAATCGTATCATTTCGGAATCCAACGTTGTGTTAGACGCAATTCTTACCGGTGATGATGTCCTTGTAGATGATCATTTTGTCGGATTGTGTTTGAGGGTGTCAGGAGGCAAACAGCGCTGGCTGTGACCTGATCGCAGACTCAGCTGAAAAAGGCCGTCGCGTGGATTGAGCATCTTATATATGCGCTGAGAAACACTGGCGCCCTCTAACGGTTTAACATGAACTCACTCCACAGGTATTGAGAGTTTCCTAAACTCTTCTCTCATTGGTTCCCACTGAACGGTATAACTTTTTTAGATATTGGAAAATTACAATTCCAGAGAAATACACAAATTGTTATAGTGTTAAAACAGCAGCCAAGACATAGCCTATGTGACATAGGCATCTGGATCATTCATCGCAGGTTACTTTTCCATCATCATTATACTTCTTCCATGGTCATGTCCCCCTGCCTTGTACTGTATGTCTCAGTAGTATTAGATACAATATTATACTGTCTGATGTAAAGTTTATATTATATTATATTAGTTATTATTATTTTTATTTGATCACAGTTATGAATCGTATATCATTTCACTAGGTTTGAGTGGAACTTTTTTGCTACAGAATTTTTGGACATTTTTGCTATGGAGGCTATATGCACTAAATTCTAACATGAAAAACTGGCAGTGTATTAAGAAATATACCAGGCATTTCTTATTTATTTATTTTTCTTTCAATTTCAATTCAATTCAGAAAGCTTTATTGGCATGACAAAAAAAAAAAAAAAAAAAAAAAAACATTTTGTATTACCAAAGCATCAAAACAACATAGAAAATGATTTAGAACATTTAGTACACAAAATAATAATACTGATAACATAAAAACAATAATAATAAAATAAACAAAGATTAATAAATAAAATTAAAGGATTTAGAAATCATCTATGTAAAAAACAAACACAAGCAACACAAGCAAAAAACAAAAACATTCAATTCAACATTCAATTGAATTCAATTGAATTCAATTCAAATGAGCTTTATTGGCATGAATGTGTAAAATAGCACAATATTGCCAAAGCCATTGACATATACAAACATATGAGGAGATATATTTTGCAGCAATTATTTCACATTTGGGCATTTCTCCCAGTAAATAAGGGAGTTTCTGTGTGTCTGATATGGATTCGAATTCAGGAATATTTGGGAAATGTTTGCAAAGTGTTTTTGTCTTAGTGTATTATATTTGGGGCATGAGGTTAAGTGCAGCTCTGTCTCTACCTGTCCCCTGTCACACTGGGAGCAGAGTCTCTCCTCTTGTGGGAGCCAGCTCTGTCTGTGCCGACCCGTCTCTATGGCCAGGCTGTGTTCACTCAGTCTGTATGTTATCAACATTTTTCTTAGTTTAGGACATTTTATTGTACTCAGGTAATTTGCCCGTGTGAATTCTCTTTTTAGGGTCAGATAACATTGTAATTTACTTTGTGTTTTGGTCGTTTCTTTCCAGTATTCAATATATTTTTCTTTCTGCTTGTTGATAATTTGGTTTGGTCTGCTTGAGTTGGCGTTGCTGTCCTGAGGCTGTTGGGGACTTGTTACTGCAGAGAGCCCCAGGACCAGCTGTCTGAGAGGACTCTTTTCTGGTTTCAGCTCATTTTAGGGCTTTGTGATGATATGTCTGGGGGTTAACTGATTTTAAGTGATTGTAAAATTTAATTGATCTTTTCTGTATCTTTAGTAAGAGGGGGTATTGGCCGAGCTCTGCTCTGCACAGGTTATTTGGTGTTTTTCTCTGCACCTGTATGCTCTTACAGAACTCGGTATGGAAAGATTCTGTGATTGTTTTGTCCCATTTGTCAAATTCATTATTAAGTTTTGGCCCTCAAATTTCACTACCATATAATTATTGGTTCTAGTACAAATTGGAAAATTTTAAGCCAGATTGGAATTCAATTAGAATATAGATTTTAATGTTTCTTTTTATTGCATAGAAAGCTCTCCTTGCTTTGTCCCTCAGATCTTTCAGCCATGTTGAGGTTCCCTGTGTATGTAATGTCGAGGCCAAGGTAAGTGTAGTTTTTTGTGTGTTGTAATTTAGTGGTGTCTAAATGGAAATTGTGTGTAATTTCTGTATTGTTTCTGAAAGATCATTATCTTATTATTTACTGTGTTTACTGTCAGGGCCAAGTCTGACAGAATATCTGCAGGAGGTTAAGGTGATGCTGCAGACCTTATTTAGTAGGTGAGAGTAACACTAAGTCATGTATACAGCATACCTCTGATCTCTGTGTAGCAAACTAGCTCTATGAAATATTAATAATCAATCATAACTTGTTATAATTGATTATGAATATGTGGATCAGTTAATCGGGTTAACTTGATGTAGCTACATTAACATCACAACCAATTACTCGGTTCATCCTGTGAACACTCAATATTGGTTATTAAAATTAATTAATAGAAATGTACATTTCCGGGGCATGGGAAATGTCTTTCTTACTAAGTACTACTAAGAGCAAGTAGTCAAGATCTTTGATTAGTGACTCCAGATTTGAGCTTGAGACACGGACAACTTTACATGTGATATGAAAAAGACTTTATTAACTAACATTTAAACTACTCTAAAATACACATACATAGGCCTACATGCATACAGTTTACCAAGGGAAAGAGAGCTGAAGCAGAATACAGGAAAGCAAGAAGTTATAGCATTGTTTGATGTTCAGCAGATCAACAGCCTGAGTAAACCATCAGACACGCCCTTCTTTATAGGGGTAAGGATACTTGTGTTTTTTTCCTCTTTGTCGCCATCTCTGTTCTAAATCTGCAATTGCAGTCATTCGCGGAATTGTCAACTTTACGTGAGTTGTACTTCAACACCTTCGACACGGCACAGCGCGGATAAACACAATGTTTG